TACAAACACACACACGCCCGCCTAGACTTGGGAGGAACTAGGAACCACCTATGTGAGGGAGCCCAGAAGTCCCTGGCAAGGACCCCCCAGTCCCTGCCAACCCCCAAAGCAGCAAGCTGATGGGGCAAAAATAACTACTGTCAGCTGCTTTTCCTGGGGAAGAGCCTTCATCTAGGTCCCCAGCTTTTCTCTCTCAGAGTCTCATCATTTGTGCACTTGAGGTATTTTCACACCTACTGTGTACTGGACAGGGACCGGTGCTCTGTGTCAACTGGAGTGGGGAAAGTGCCGAAGGAGAGGGTATGGGCTTGTCTAAGCCTTTCCCAGACCCTCCTGGCTTCACCACCGCACCTCCCAGGTGGAGGGGAGAGGGAGCTCGGGAGCCATAGTGCTTCTCTGGGAGCAGCTGGTGGGCAGAGGTGCCCTGGGATGGGCACTTCTAAGCAGCAGGTGGAGTCGCTGATGCCCAGCCCAGCTGCTGCCTCTGACCACACCTCCCGGCCCCCCTGGCCCTTCGTGTCCTTGGGGATTGGGCTGGAGGAGATGGGTGGTCTCGGGAAGCCATTAGGCCGGAGGCAGAACGCAGGCCTTTTCCCAGCAGACAGCCAGGTTCTGCCTACCTCTCCTTTCTCTGTGTCCTACCTTCCCCCACTGCCAGCCATAATGCTAGCCCTGAGCAGTGTACACATGGGGAAAGAGAGTCAGAGGACTTGTCCCAAGATCTCAACCCTCCTCAGAGGAGTGGACTTCCTGGCCCACCTGTTACTCCCTCCAGGAGTCTGTTCACTCCGCTGGCTCTTGCCCAGGCAAACCTCCAGGCAAGGACCATGTCTTCTTAGCTCGGAACTGGCAGCTCATGGCACAGAGCTGGGCAGGGTTGTTCTGCAGTTCATATTCAATGAACGAGTAATGGGGAAACTGGCTAAGCATTTAGACCTCAGCCCATGGGCTGCTTCCCCAGGGAGACTTGCCTTCACCCCTTGGCCCAACAGATAATAATCATAAACACAACCATTTATTTGCTAAACCCACTGGGAGATGGTCGCATTGGGTGGGGGGTGGGGAGACCAGTGAGGTGGGCTCCAGTGCCCACAGCCCAGACCATCTCTTTTTCTTTATTGTGCTCCTCCGTGTTAGAGGTCTGAGGGACACCTGTTGAGTGTCTACCTCCCCAGCTGCACTGCTTCAAGCAGGCGGGATACTCACCATCTTAACCTCATGCCTGTACATAGTAGGCCCTTGAAAAGGTTTATTTGCATACATGAATGAATGAATGAATGAATGAGTGGAGAGATGGAGAGCAGAGGATGAGAAGGGCCTTCTCCCCACCAGGGACCAGCCCTCTGAAAACAGTCTGATGAGAACAGGGAGCAGGACCCCGGCATCCAGCCTACCCTTAGTGTGTTGTACATAGTCCTGGAGTCACAACCAGAGTCACTCTGGGCACCAGCCTTTCCTGGAGTGGGGGTGAAAGCCAAAGCTCCTGGCTCCAATCAGGGTCCAACCAGGTTCTGGAGTCCCCAGAAGGTTCTGAAGGCCCTGGGCGGAACCTCTGTGATCTTAACCCACTCTCCTCTCTCTCCCCCAGAGAAGATGGGCATCTGGGGCCTAAACGTGTGGAGGTCAGGGTATTAGTCCTGCTCCTTAACCTCTACCAAAGGGCCTGCCTCTACAGGGCCAGAATTCCTTTACATTTGGAGAACTTCCCCTGAACTTGATCCTCTTCAGTTTGGGGGGATTCTTCTCATCTCCCCAAAAGCCTGTGTCTCTAGAGGGTGCAGATGGGGACACACCCTAACCAGGCCCCAGGTACAGCCTGGGCACACTCTGTGAGTGACAGATGCAAATACTCCTTAGGGGCCCCAGCAGGCTGCTCTCTCCCTCCCTCACTCCCTTGCTAGCCTCCCAGCCAGCTCGCCCGCTCCTTTATCTTATCAAAGCCCCGTAATTACAATTGCTATTTTGTTTCCTTGAATCTGCAATCAGAGCTCCCTGGCCCTGATGAGGGAGCGCCTGTCAACCTGATGGCTGAGTGACAGCCCGGCCACCTTTCCCGGCCGCCCCCACACTTCGCAAACACAAATACTCTCTCTCTCTCTCTCTCTCTCTCTCTCTCTCTCTCCTCTTATAAACACAAACACACACTCCTCACCAACACAGCTTCTCTCCGCAAACACACCCTCTCGGATACCCAAACACACACCTTCAGCCTCTTTCCAAACGCATCCCTCGCCCGGGCCCACCCCTGGCCCCTCAAATCCCCCCCAGCTTGCGCAGGCCGCCGGGACTGGCGCTCGCTCCATCGCGCGCCTCCTGCGCCCGCGTTCAAAGCGCCGCGGACTCTCCGCCGACCCTTCAAATGCAAATCGTCGAGACCGCGTTAAGCACTCGGGCTCCGTCTGGGAGTCGTTCCCCGTCTCCGCACCAAAGGCAGGCCTGCCTTTCCGCCAGCGGTCTGCAGACCCGGTGTGCGCCTTCACCCCTCTGCGCTCTGTGGCCGAGTGAATTGGCAGCGCTCCTACTGTGCGCTGAGGGTGCAGGAATGGGAATCGAGGAGAGACGGGGGCGAGGAGGGAGAAAAATGAATTCCTAGTTTTATCTGCCGGGCGCCCGGTCAGGCTGGGAAACTCCAGGACCGAGGGGCAGATGTGGATTGGGCCCCCACTGAGGGCAGCAGCCGGGAGGGGACTCGCGGAGACCCACCAAGACAAAAGTCAAGGCATACAATGAGCCATCAGCGGCGTCGCTGGAGGTAAATATTTGAGCTGAGCCGTGCGCAGGGGGTAGGTGGGTCGGCCTTCCCCCCTACCGAGCCCCGAGAGATTACTTTTCCCAGCGTCCAGCGGGTCTCCCGCGCCTCCAACCGTGCACGTGCCAAGGGCTTTGGAGGCTGCAAGTGAGAGGAGGTAGGGAAGAGCTCTAACAGGAGCCCTTCCAGTGAATGATGGATGAACAAACGAATTAATTCAGTTTTAGTAACTTATCCCCTCGCCTTCCGCCCAAACTTCGGTGGCCCAGACCACTTGCAGGGCACGTGGGCCCCAGCAAGCCTCAAGCCCCTCAAGAGGCGACGTGGGGGAGCGACACGGCCACCGGTGGTTTCACCCTCGCCCACCAGAGGGCGCCAGCTTCTCCCTCTCCATCCCTCTACTCCAGTGGTTCTCAACCTTGGCTGCACATTAAAATCACCTGGGAATCTTTTTAAAATCCTGATTTCTGGGCCTCATCCTCCGGAAATTCTGTTTCTTTGTTACTAATGCTGTGGCCCCAAAGAAACAGAATTTCCGGGGGATGGGGCCCAGAAATCAGGATTTTAAAGATTCCCAGGTGATTCTAATGTGCAGCCAAGGTTGAGAACCACCGCTACTCCCTGCTGTGGGAAGGTGACTGGTTTCAAGCCTGGCTGCCCCATTCCACCCTGGTTCCTGGTAGAAGCTCTTCAGGAAAGTCCTCTTGGCGAGGAGAAAGGGGCCTGCGACCCTGATCACTACAAAACAGAGGGATCACCTTCCGTTATCTTCAACTTGAGGAAAAAGGGAAGTTGTAAACTGGGCCTCTTCGCTCCTCACCACAAAGAGGAGGGAACCTCTTCTAGGGGATGTGTTGAAGAGGGAGTGCTTTCCAGAGACATTCTCTCCAAAGCTTACCTCCGCTGGCCCCTACCTGCCCCTTCAGGCTATCTAGGGACCCCTCCTACTTGCGCACTCATCTGTGGGAGGGAGAGGGCCTGGCCCCACCAGGCACTGTTTTCTGTCCATCCTCAGCATGTCTGGCCCCAGGCTATCTCAGGAGGGAACCTTTTATTTGTTTGTTTGTTTGTAGGCATTGAGACACCCCCACTCCTTCAACACAGCTGCTGAACTGCTGACCCCAGAGTCGGTCACATAGACAACACATCACATCAAGTAGATCCCTTTCTCTTCAGGGCACAGCAGCAGCCAAGCCCCAGAACCAAGTGATTCCAGGCACCAGAGCCCCTAGATCAGGCGGAGTGTGTGTGTGTGTGTGTGTGTGTGTGTGTGTGTGTGTGTGTGTGTGTGTGTGTGTGTTTGCGCGCGCGCGCGCGCGCACAGAAACCCCTTAACCTAGGAGGCTGAATCCCAAGGGCTCCTCTCTGCCCCCATATGCCAGGCCACCAGGATTCTGGTTTCCCTGTCACCCAATCTGGCCAACCCCCTCCATCTGGTCCCTGGAATCAGGTTTCTAAGGGCCCAGATCAGCTCGGAGACAGTCTGCACGGCTGAAAGGAGGAGCAAAGACTGGCCTCCTCCCTACCCTGAGCCCCCTCATGGGGCTAGAGATGCACATTCCTCGGGCTGCTTAAACCCCCTTATCTGCCCCCCTGCCCATCAGCCTGAGTGCTGACAGAGGCCCAGACCCCTTGTTTGGATGCTGATAACCTCCTGGGATGGCCCTCCCCCACCTGTAGGAACTGGAAATGGGTTTGGTGTTGGGAGGTCCTCTTCTAGCTAGGCAGTTTGGGCCTAGGCCTGGCCTAGGGATAACAGGATCCCACATTTCTTCACCCTCCCCGAGGCCTGGGGCCACCCTCAGTGCTGCCACAGTGCCACCTGGTGGTCCCTAGGGGAATGCCAGCCCAGCAGGGAGAGAAGCCACACAATGAGTTGCAAAAAAACTCTACACCACTTTATTTCATCCTTTATCCAAAAATGTAAAAAGTGTTTAAAATATGTAGTCCTGAGCTTCAAATGCTGACCTCCAACCTCAAAGGCAAGTAGGGAGAGAGGGTCAGGACAGTTCAGAGTTCCACTCCTGGAGAAAAGGGAAGCCCCAGGCATGGTACAGAATTAGAACCTCAGGACCCTATGGAGAATGGGACCCCCTTTCTCCTAGCACCAGCCCAAGACCCCCCCACACCCCCCTCTTCAATGAAGAAGACATTTAAAATTCTTGATACTTGTACAGCAACGTGGTGTATGGCATGTATGGCAGGCAGCTAGCTGACCTGAAGAGAGCAAAGAAGGGATCAGCATCTAGGTCCTCATCTGCTCCTCCTGCCCTCCCAGACCCTGCTGGGCACCCTGCCCTCCCACTCACCAAGGAGGGCTAGGGCCTGCCCCTCTGTTTCTTAGCAGGCAGAATGGGGCACAATTCAGCTTCCTCATTCTCCTCACTCCCCTCTTCTTCGCTCTCTTCTTCCTCAGAAACACTGCTTACAGTAACTGGTGTACACACAAGCAGTAAAAGGAAGGGAGATGGTTAAAGCCAGGTCTCCTTCATATTATGTTATTCATTCATGCACTGTGGTGCTAGGCAGGGCCCTGAACTCCCAGCGCTTAGTCTAGATGGGAACAACTGCCCTAGCCAGTTTGGCTCAGTGGATAGAGCATCCACCTGAGGACTGAAGGGTCCCGGGTTCAATTCCAGTCAAGGGCACATGCCCAGGTTGCGGGCTCAATCCCCAGTGTGGGGCGTGTAGGAGGGAGCTGATCAATGCCTCTCTATCATCACTGATGTTTCTACCTCTCTCTCCTTCTCTGAAAATAAAAAAATATATATTTTAAAAAAAATAGATGGGAAGAACCTCAGATACTAAACTGGGTGACAAAGAGCCAAAGGGTTACACATCACTGGAGCTGGAGAAGCTGAGACAGGTTCCATGAAGGAGGTAGGCATGCGTAGGACAGAAACTGAAGGACACATCATGCAGAACCTGTATGGCAGCTACACTGGGAGATAAGGCTGGGATGGGGCAAGAGTGTGGAGTCAGGAGGAGCCAAAACGGGGAGGGGAGACCTGATGGAGAGTCCACCGACGGCAAAGGAGAGGACTCTCACCAATCTGGTGCCGCCCAGTGATCCGCACAGGACCAGAACCTGACTTCAGGCGGAAGGTGACAGGAGGTTGAAGCTGGAAGTCATCCAAACTGAGCTGGGAGAAAGACAAGGAGGAAGGTCTAGCCCAGTCCTTCCCTCCTCCCTCCTTCCCCGCTTCCCCCTCCCCAGGCACGGCCAGGGAACTCACCATGGGCTGGCAGGACAGCCTGAGGTTGGCCACGGGGACTGCAATCTCCTGGTGGTCATGACTACGGGCCACAACTTCTACCACATTACACTCATCTTTGGCCCCCTCGGTGAGGCAGAGCTGGGAAGGATACACAAGACTTTGGGGCCTCCCTAAGCAGGTGGTGACAACACAGTGGAGGCATCTACCCTAGAATTTGCTCAAACTCAGGGGTCTCTCTGAATACCTGGCCAAGGGAGCAGGCGATTGGGGGTTTGGGCAGAGGTGACTCCCCCTAAAGAAGAGGTTGGGGGCGGGCTACGGGCAGCGGCCCACCAGTGGCCTGCTTAGGTCAAGCTATCCACCACCACCCCCCTTCCGCACCCCTCACCATGGTCAAAGCCAGCACGTGCTCTGCATCATCCTCTTCCTCTACCTTGAAGGTGAAAGAGCGGGTGTGGCCGGAAAGCTCGCAGCCTGGAAGAGATAATGGCGTGAGTGTGCATGATTGTGAGGGGTGGGGGGCCGCTTCCCCAAACTCCATCACGTGTGGCCATGGACTGACCGACCACCATTTACACGCCCACTTCTCCGGACACCTGGGCGCTCAGCCCTGAGCCCGCCCCGCACATCTGGGCAGGGGTCGGCCCCCACTTCCGCTCCAGCAGCCGCGTGCGAGCCCCCTCCGTCCCCACCGATGCCGGGCACCCCCTGCACCCCTTCCTCTCCCCGCCCCAGGACGACCTTCACCCCTCCTTCCTCAATACCGAAGAAAAAACTGTCCATAGTGACCGGAGCTGGGGCCCGCAGCCCCCCGACACCCCCGGCCCGGGATCGGCTC